GTTTCTTAAAGAGGCAACCTTTCTTCCAGTGCACATGTTTGGCCCCTTTGTCAAAGATAAGGTGTCTTGAGTGTGTTTGGGGTTGTGTCTGCCTCTTCTAATATGTTCCAATGATCCTCCAGTCTGTTTTTCTGCCAATACTGTGTTAATGTTATCACAGTAGTTTTTTAGTATAAGTTATAGTCAAGGATTGTGATGCCCCTAACTTGTCTTTGTTACCTAGAATTGCCTTTGCCATTCTAGGTCTCTTCTGGTTCCAAATGAATTTTAAGAATGGTTTATCTAGATCTGTGGGGTATGCAAATAGTATTTTGACTGGGATTGCACTAAATCCATATAACTATTTTAGGAGTATGGCCATTTTCATTATGTTCTTCCTATCCAAGAGCAAGGGATATATTTCCATTTCTGATATCCTCTTTGATCTTCCCTTTTAGGGCACTGTAATCTTCACTGTACATATCTTTTACATCCTTGGTTTCATTGATTCCCAAGCATTTCATTTTTTAGAAAGTAATGTGAAGGATACACTTTCCTTAATTTCTCTCTCTGTGAGTCTGCTGCTTGTGTACAGGCTCTGTGTTCCTCTTAATAAGTCTTTTCTGAAATAGTTTTTTATTAACCAAAAAAAGATACAAATTAGTATGCCATAGATGAAATTTTTAATTAATAGGAATACCAAAACCACTTTGATTTATGCTAAGATGCTAAGAAAGCTGAGTATTGTGGTACATACTTAAAAATCCCAGGATACAGGAGGCTGAGGCAGGAGGATCACCATGAATTAGAGGCTACCTAGGATATACAGTGAATTTAAGGCCTATCTGGACTACATAGTAAGACCTTGTCTCAAAAAAAAGTATCATTTATTCTAAAAATGAGCTCTATCACAATTAATAGTTTGTCAGTCATTGATACATTATTTGAGTTTCATTTTAAATCTTATATCTGTACGGATTTCTTAGCTATATTACCCACATTCAGTTAAATCCTAGATGATTGCTAAACACTTTTTAAGCTATATTTTTAAAGGAATTTACAAAAACAAATGTATATCATAGCATTAGAACTGAATTTGTTGTAAAGCAATAATGTTAATTATTTTATCTTAATAGATAATATATTTTCCACATGTGTTCATTATTTGGGGGTAAATTTAATGACATAATTTTTAATGACATGAATATCTCTATTTTGCTCAAGCAGACTTTATTAATGTCCTTTTTCTCTTTTGTTGTTTTGTATTTCCAATTTTTCTCTGTATCCAAAATTATTTTTCCTTATATTTAAGACTGCAACTGTGTTGAATCCTTACTTCTTTCTTTTACCTTGATTTGAATTTGTCTAGCCATCACTTCTCAGCCTTTTGGCTAAGGTCAAGTAGATTTGTCCAGCCATATCTATCTTGTTTCAAATTGAGCTACAAGAGTCTAGAAAGAAAAAAAGAGGAGTCATCAATACATATTGGCTGAATTAATAAATAGTACCCATATCTAGGAAGGCTGAGTTCTTATAGCCCAGGTTATTGCTTATGTATATGATCACCTTTATAAATAAGAAACCAAGTCAGAGACTTGTTTGTTTTAATACATGGATGATAACATCACTACCTATTTCTACTTACTGGGCAGTTAACAATACACTAGAAACTCCTTCTAGGGCCAGGGAGACAAATCAGCAGACTAAGTGCCCAGGGACCAGAGTTCGATTCCCAACACCATGCCACACCATCCCCACCCGCTGGTGCACTGAACCAACCCCTGAAACCAGGCGTGGTGGCGCATGCCTGTAATCCCAGCACTGGGGAGGCTGAAAACAGGAGGATCACTCCAAGTCTGAGCTGCATAGTGAAACCCTGTATCAAATACACAAAAAAGAAATATAAGAAACTCCTTCAGCATATTTTAGTTTTCAAATTGAAAATTCTAGGAAATTAATGCTTATCAAACAACAAGCAGAAGTCATGAGGTAGTATGTGGTCTTGCTATGATAATTCAATTCTTCTTAAATCATTTAAGCACTAAACAGTTTGCTGGTGGGTCGATTCATGACTCACTGATAGTGTTGTCCCACTCATCAGAACTGAAATCCTCCTTCCCAGGTCTTTTCTTTTTGTTTTCTTTCTGGCTTCCCTTCCTTCCTTTCTTTTTCCCTCTGTCTCTCCCTCACTCATGCCCTCTTATTCCCCTCTACTTCCTGCCTTCCCTGACATATAATCTACAAACCCACATCAGCCAAGGACCAGACAGAGGACATAAGACACAAAGACAAATGGAAATTTTCCCTGTCCTGGAGTCCTGCAGGGTCCAGAGGGTGGTGCTTTGGATCCACAAAGAGTTCATGAGGAAGTTTAAGGGGAATTAGTCCCACCAAAGGCAGAGCAGTTTTAAACAGCAAAGTCGAAGAGAAAAAATACCATCACACCTGGTCTAATCTGTTCCTCTGTCAGAAGTCTGGTTTTAGATCTGTGCTCTGTCATTCTGTCCTTGAAACAGAGATACAGGCTCAAAGACTTAGTTACTATCTGTGGATGAAAGTGTGACCAAGTTCTCAGGAAGGATTCCCAGCCAAGTTTCCAGCAGCCAACAACCATTGACAAGGACAACTAGTTTCCACTCCAAAAGAAAGGACTGTTAGTTTGGGGGAGGAATGACCCAATAAGCCGAGAGGATCCCAGAACTTTTCGGTGTCAAGCTGGGTGATGAGAATGCGGATGTGAAGTATAAAATGCAGATGCGAAGTGTGCTGCATCCCCACAATCTTTTGTGTTAACCCCTAGACTTTCAGTGCCAGCAAGCCACAAGGGCAGCAGGCCTGGTTTGCCCAGGATAAGTGAAACAGTAGGCATCTTCGTGCCCTGTTGGGGCCTGTATTCAATGTTTCCATCTAGGAGGGACCACAAAGAGCCCAGATTCCTGTTCCCGAGTCTCCACTCTCTCCTCTGTTTCAGGGCAGCGTGAGCAGGCTTGTCACCTCCACAGAAGGACTGCAGCTGCAGAGGAGGGTTATGTGCCAGTTCCTGCTCTCTTGTCAATATATTGAACCTTCTCTCAGTATATTTGCTGTTCATAAAACTAAGATGAAGGTTGATTGCTGGGTACCTGACATAACCGGCCAGAAAATGCTCCAAAACTCTTCTAGTCCTAAAAAAGACCTCCAGCCAGTCCTATGGTTCTGAAGTCCCTGAAAAGAATCACAGGCTAGATGAGATTTACAGTGGGCATAGAATGACCCAAGTGGGCTGACCCTCCCCAATCAGAGGAAGGAGGCACAGTGGCAGTGCTTGGAGATCCCTGGTCCACATGAGCCTTCCTAGGGGAACAGCACCTGTCAAAGACTCACTCAGCAAACAGGGAATGAAACTCCCCAGGCAGGGTTGGTCCCAGTGGGCATGAACCAGGAGAAAACCTTTTGCAAAGCCCAAGTGCAGGCCTAGAGTGCAGGAGGAATCAACATACCATCCATGATAGGAGAGATGAAAGAAACACAGCATCTCATGGGTGGTTCCAGAGGATGTTCATGTTTGATACTGCCCACTGTATCCATGGCACACACATGTGCTTATGTTGGTCGGTTTTCCAATTACTGGGCACAGCACCCGAGACTCACAATCCAAAGGAGGAGAGGCTTATTTGGCTCACAGCTTCAAGGGATTCAGTCCATGGTAGGCTGGCTCTCGGGCAGGAGCATCATGGCAGATGGGCCTGGTGGAGCAAAGCTGCTTAGTTCATTGAGGCTGGGAAGCAGAGCGGGGAAACAGAGCCAGAGAGGAAGGGGCCAAGGGCCAGATATACACCAGGTGTGGCCACACCTCGTGACCGACTCAGACACAGCCAGAAGTGTGCTGTACCAAACTCTGGGGCATTGTTCCTTAATCAGTGGAGTTAACATGTCACGATTAACAGTCCCAGTGCTTTATCTTATCTTATCTGTGTTTTGCAGATGGAGAAATCAAGGCACAGAGAAATCAAGTGACTTTGCCACAGTCACAAGCTGGGGAGGACCAGGAATAGAACCTGAGAGAGCCCAGCTCTGGGCCTGTGTCCTGCCCACGGAGTCACACTGCCTCCATCCTCAGGAGAGAAAGCTCCCTGCAAGGTAAGGCCTCCTGGTCTCCAGGATGTGGTCACAGCAGTGTGCACAGGGATGGTCGCTCTGTGTGTGCAAAGACCCAAGCAGAGCTGGTCCTCAATGCCCTGCCCTGCACGGCCTCCCTGGACCAATACCTGGCCCCTGACCCCCTCCAGGGCACTCCCTGTCCTCCTCCTTCCACTCACAGCAGCCCCGCTGTCCTCTGCAGAGCCCTCATCTGCCTCCTCTGCTCCCCTTCTCTGTCTGTCTCCTCTTCCTCTCAGAGGGCAGAGTGCCCACACTGGGATCCAGGCAGAAAGGGAGAGGCTCCTGTGCAGCTCTCCCCAAGCCGCTTTCCTGCAGGGCTCCCCTAGCCCTGCCTGGATCCAGGGTGGCACTGCCTTCCTCCTGCACCATCCCAGAAGCCACCACTGGACTCCAGAGTGCCACATCTGCTGAGGGTGGCAGGGCTTCAGGCTTTAAACTGCCACTTCTGACCCACTCAGGGTGTCCAGTCCTCCCGCCGTGTCTGTGCTTCCATCTCAGTGTCCTATCCTTTTCCCATGCCCTTCCAGAACATTCTCCCTTCTTTCTGCCCCTCCAGACACCTGTAGGTCTCTCTCTGTAGCTTAGGAAACCCCTCCAGGAACACCTCTCACCAGCTCTGCCATGCTGGGATGATATCCTGAGTCAGAGGAGATCCCCACTGGGAAGGGTGACCTGGCTCAGGACAGGGGCCACCAGGACAGCCGAGGGCTGCATGGCAGAGCTGGCAAGAGCTCTGCACCCATGGGCTCTTTACCACCTGCAGCACGTACCCTGAGCACTGGCACGCTCCTACTCCTCGCATCAACAGTGTCATTCTAGAGCTCCTGCCATGGGGAAACTGAGGCAAGAAGGCAAAGAGCTGGGGTGTGGCCTCGCTAACTCATGTCTGCATGGTTGCCGAGTGTGGCGGGGCACCGGCATGCCTGCTGATCACTCGGTGACCTTCCAGCCCCTCCTTCCCCTGCGGCCGAACATGCATGCAATCACGGATGGTGGAATCCATCACTGTGGACCCACGAGCTGCTCTGGCTTGCTTCTCTTTTATTCTTTTAGCATTTTCCTCCACCCTAAGAACTAAGTAAAATGGTTTTGAAAAGGAGACTCTATCTAACAAAATGATAAACTAGAAAATTACTAGAATAATTTCAAATTCCTGTATGAATAGAGAGTGTTAGCAACAATTTTCCATGTCAAATGTATCAGAATTTTAATTTGTCTTACCAGTTTGCCCTCCAAACTTAAATCAGGGAGAAGTAAAGGTAGGAAATAAAGGGTGAGGACAGACGGCTGCAGTGTCAGAGCGTCTTACGGGCCATCTGCTCGTGATCACAGAGCCGAGCGTGAAAATGTGTCAATCCGAAGTGAGATTTCTTTAAAAGGAAGAAAACCAGGCAAAGGATGTGGATAAAGGCTTCACAGGAGAGGAAATGCAAAGGCCAGCTTTCAGGGCAGCATTTGACCTCATTAGTGCCCAGGGAAAGAGGAAATTAAACAATAATGAGGAAACTGTTTTACTCAACAGTAGGAAAAGACGTGTACTATCCATGAGTAGCAGGCAGGGGACAAAGAAGAGGGCAGCATTCTAAGAAATGAACATAATGATACATTACAAAAAATCATGTGGCATTTTACTTTTTTTTTTTTTTTTTTTTAGTTCTGGGGATTGAACTCAAGGCCTTTATGCTGAGCCACATTCCCAATCCTTTTTCTTTTTTAATTTTTTTTTTCTTTTTTGAAACAGAATCTTGCTGTGTGGTTCAGGCTGGCCTTGAACTCAATACGTAGCTCAGGCTGGCCTTGAACTTACAGCAGATCTCCTGCCTCAGCCTCCCGAGCGCTGGGATTACAGCCATGCACCACCACACCCAGCCTTTTTTGTTAATTTTTGAGACAGGACTTCACTGAGTGACCCAGTGGCTAGGCTTGAATTAATGATCTTCTTGCTTCCACATCTCAGAGTGCTGGGATTCTGGATATATAGGCACTCACCACTCTACCTGAGATATATAGATATATATTTGTATTTTTAGGAAAGAGTCTACAGGGTGTTCAGGGTCTCACTACTAGATCAGACTCATAGTGATTCACTTGTTTACAGCCTCCCAAGAGCTGGGATTACAGGCACGTGCCACCATGCCCAGTATCAAAATTGCCATCTCAGCGCACCCCAGGCCAGTGGGGCTGACACAGCAGGCCCAGGGATCGAGTCCCCAGCCCTTGTGCCTGCTTGAAGGTGCTTTAATTCCCTGAGCTATTTGGCCATCCATCAATTTCTATATTTCAGATGATATGCTAATAATACCTTTTTATAAAACTCTTATGAAAATATGCATACAGATTCGTAGGCTTTATGCCCTAATTCACTTTTTGCAGTAGAATGAAACAAATAGGTGGAATACAACAACCTAAATGCCAATGGGTGGCAGAGGAATGGAGGGGCAATGGTCAACTGACCTTGTATGCCAGGCACACTGAGGAATATGCACAACCATTCAGCCCACAGGCATTGACAGCTCTCACTTCATGTAAGTGGAGGACAGCAAGTTTTAGGAAAGTTAAAGTAGAGCAGAGCTTGCTTTCCTCAATAGGAAACACTCAAGGAAAAGCCACTTTGTTCATTCCATGCATTTTGGAGCAGAGCATGGCTGGTCTCTGGGTGAAGAAGGGTGAGATGGAAGAAGAGAAGGGAACCTGCCTGGCTCCCCTCTGTGCTGACTGAGCCCCCCCGGAGCTTGACCCCACTCCTCATCATCATGGACGAGAAGCTAAGAAGAGAAGCTGCCCTTGCAGGTTGGACATTCACTGGACAACTGAGAGCCACCCAGTCCTCCAGCTAGGGAACCCGATGGTGAGAACGGATGACAGTGCTGCAGCCACCACTATCATGGAGGAGGCATCCTGAGAAGGCCAGCGATGGTCCAGTCTTGATAGGACAAGGCACAAAGAGGGCACTGACCAGAGAGATGGAGGGAAACAAGGAAACACAACAGCCACATGGGAATGTGATCAATGACTGCACCAGGAAAAGGTGCTAGGGAACAAGTGAAATGAGACTTAAGGAGTCCAGCAGGAAAGAAGGACCAAGTAAATCATGACCAAGAGGTGTTAGGCGATACAAATATGGAAGAAGCCTTCTTACTCCTGTGCCTGATAAAGAAATTTACCAAATACTGAGGGAGCGAGGGAGAGAACAGGAAATACCAGTGAGACAGAAAGAAGACAGGCTGGGGGACCCCTCAAGTGGACTTGAGTTAGATAGTGGGGACCTGGGATGGCTGGTTCAGGCTCACGGGCAGTCTGAGTCATTCTTTGGGTCATGAGGACCCTCCCATTGAGGAGAGGACCTGGATGAGAAATTAGAGAGAGTGATCTGATAGTATCTGATGCTTTCCGAGGGGTGGGACTTGGTCACGCTTTGGGGACAGACCAAATGGGTGCCTGGAGTTTTCGAAAGGGAGGGCTCTAGTGCAGACCTCCAATGGGGTGCACCGAGGGGTGGTGGAAATGGGGTGCAGAATGGGTAGGTGCTGTGGCGAAGGGTGGAAAGAGAGGTGGGCCATGCTGAAAGGGTCAGGAGAGGCTGATCGGGCCAGGGAGAAAGAAGACGGACAGGAGGGGAATGGAGGGAATTCATGTTCCTTCTAGCAGGGACCTTGGGATGCATCCTTTGCTCTGGGCTGGTCTGTCTTGTGAGCAGATTTAGCCTAGCCACACAGTGCAATGGGAGACAGTGGCCAGACATGGCAAGAATTTGACGCAGTGCCCTGCCACCACGAGCATCCAATCCATGCTACAATTGAGCCCCGACTACAGACCAAAGAGACTTGACATGAGGGACCAGAGGGGCTGTCCAATTAGAAACATCCACCCAGCCATGATACTGCAGGAAGGGACAGCTCTGCTGCTCTGTTACAAAAGAATCAGAGGCATCAACTGGAAGAGGGGGCAGGTTGAGATGCAGGCTTTTGTTGGGTGAGCATCTCCATGCCCTGAAGGTGACCCTGAGGGCAGACTGGCACATGCGGCAACCCAGATATCCTCAAGCTTAGATAACAGAGCATAGACTCTAGTCTACAGCCACCCAGGGTGAGCAAAGGCAGGCACCTCTCAGTTCTTTGCATAGCTTTGTCATAGCCCCTGATTCACACAGATGCCTGGAGATCCAGCTGTGCGTCTGTTCCAGCTCAAGTTTGGGATATGGGGTCCCACTGGGCATCTGCAGCAACCCTGCTCCTGGGATAGAAGGGGGACCTCGGCCCAGAACACATTCAAGGCCTGTCCTCCCAACATCCCTGGATATGCATAGGCACTGTGACCTGCAGAAGTGCTTGCTGGGGATGCACAGCCTGGAAGAGGCACAGGGAGGATGTGGCTGGGGTCACAGTAGCCGGACCCAGGGACATCGCCCTGCTGGGTGTTGCTGCTCACGATGCTCCAGAGCAGTTCTGGGTTTTGTCTTTTAGTATAGCTTGCTGTTTAAGTGTCTGTCATCCTTGGTGACTTGGCAGCTATTTAAGGATCTTCTTTACTCATAACAAGCAGTGAGGCACATCGAGGCGCCAGAGATGCCACCCTGAGTGTCCCTGGAGTGTGAGTTTGTAAATAGCTATAGAGACAGACTGAGAAAGAAAGAGAAGTTTGTATGCAGGCACAGGACTGGAGCTCCTGGGAGGCTGTGTTCCCCAGCCTCCTTGATGAACAGAAGAGGTGAGAGGACTCCAAAGGTCCCCAGCCCTGTGCACCGGACAGGACCACTTTCCCATGACCACACTATCGATCATGCCAGAAATTTATTTAAAAAGTAGCCAGAAGCCTGAAATGAATTCCTATTCAGACTGTACTTGCCTAGGAAAGCACCAGCTACAGAGCCATATTCTAGCCTGTTTTTTATGTTTTATTTTGGGATAGGATCTCACTAAGTTTCTCAGGCTGGCTAAAACTTGCAATCCACCTGCCTCAGCCTGCTAAAGTGCTGGGAT